TGGCGACGAAGGGCAGATCGGCAATGACGAGCGGCGGAGGCGGCAGGTGGATGCCCGGGATGGGGGCGGAGAAGAGCGGAGCGTCGATGGCGCGCTTCACCGCCTGGCAGTGGTGGATCATGGCGTCGAGCGAGAGCGGCTGCGTAGAGGTGTGTCCGAGCGCAACGTTGGCGAGCGAGTCGCCCACCAGGCACAGATCGATGGGCGCCGCGCGGATCGAGAGCGCGGTGGGATAGTCGTACGCGGTGAGACAGACGATGGGCACGCCCGACTGCTTGAGTGCGTGGATGTCAGCGATGGTCTTGGCGCGTGGTGGTGCGGGAATCGTGATAGGCCCAGTGTCTTTCGCCTTGCCCTTGATGTCGGTGGTGGGTGAAGCCGCGGCGGGCCAGGAGCTGGGAGCGCGTGCCGACGAGGAAAAGGCGCGGGAAGAATTGGCGGTGCGGTAGGAGCACGAGGGTGTGGGCGTGGCTAGGACGGTGGTGCGCGGGATGAATTGGCTCAGTTGGCGACGAGCCATGCCACCTGCTGTCGACGCCATGGTTTTGCGTAGGAGCAGGAGGAGGTGGTGGTGGTGGTGGAGAAGGAGAAGGAGCCAAAGTGTGGCCTCGGTTCGGTTATAGACCTCGGATTGCCGGTTTTGGCTTTTGGCTTTCTTGCGCCTTTCGCTTCTGCGCATTCTTCTCAAAGAGGGGGGGGAAAGCAGCAAAAGCAAAAAGCAGCCAGAAAGGCGCGTGGAAAAGAAACGTTTTTTCTCCACATTTTTGGATGCCACTTACAGACTACTCTGCGCTGCGCCCGCAACTGAGCTTCTTTGGCGCCGACACCAAAAAAAGAGCGGCGCTGTGCCTGACTTGAGTCGAGCCGAATCGGCGAGCAGAATTGGCCCGAGCCAAAAGGGCGTTGGGGCGTTGGGGCGTTGGCGGCGGGATCGGGTTGCGAGGCGGCGCTCAACCGGGCAACTATTATAACTCTGAATGCAATGGCGTGTTGCTCCATCATCTCCATCATCTCGATCATCTCGACGACCATCCGCCAACATCGCAACCATGCTCGAGTCTAGCGCCGTCGACTACCTCCACTCGCCCGGGTACCGTGCCAACCTCACGCCCTCGCAGACGCTCGCGCTCTTCAAGCTCTGGCGTCGCTTCCTGCGGCTGTGCGAGATCTCGTCGCACTCGACCGACTCGATCGCCCAACCGCATCCACGCTCCAGCACCGACTCGGCCCGTCGCACCAGCAACCGTCGCAGGCACAGAGCCACTGCGTCCGAACCTGCCTCGTCCGCCTCTACCTCGCACGACAACCTCGATGCCAATGCGGGTGCACTGGATGCCTCGGCGATACCCAAGGACGATAAACTCAAGGAACACCTGCGCCACCTCGAGGAGAGCAAGGAGATGCAGGCGTTTCTGCTGCAACACGGTGGTGCGGCGCTGCGTCGCGAGTTTTGGGCGATCGTCAAGGGGGAACACCCGGACGCGTACATGCTGAGGTGTCTGCGCGCGCGCAAGTGGGACGTCGACAGGGCCCTCGCCATCATCGGTGCAACCTGTGCGTTTCGCGTGCAGTACAACGTCAGCGGCATCATGAAGGATGCCGAGCTCGGGCTGACAAGCACGCGCGGCGGATTCAACATCATGAACAACGGCCTGTCGTACATCTACGGCGCGACGGCAGCGGGCGAACCGGTGTACTTTATCGAGGTCGGCTCGCACTACTCGTCCAACCAGACCGCCGACGAACTCAAGCGCGGCGTGATCCTCATGCAGGAGACGCTGCAGATGCTCATGCCCCCACCCGTCGAGCGCAAGGTGGTCATCTTCAACCTCTCCAACTTTGGCATCCGCAACATGGACTGGAGCGTCGTGCTCTTCATGGCCAAGACCATGGAGTCCTTCTACCCAGAAACCCTGGCGAGGGTGTACGTGCACGGCGCACCGTGGATCTTCAAGCCGATCTGGTCCATCCTGCGGCCGCTGCTGGATCCGGTGGTGCGCGACAAGGTGCACCTGACCTGGTCGGTGGACGAGCTCAGGGATCACGTGCCTGCAGACCACTTGCCGCAATCGACGATACCCGGAGGAAAGATGGACTGGGCGTTCAAGTACCCCGTGCCGGACGAGAAGGAGAACGAGGTTCAGCAGGACGGCGAAAAGGCGGTGGAGATGGAGACGCTCTACCGCAATGCGTGCGTCGAGTTCGAGTATGCCACGCGTGCCCTGGCGCGTGCGTACGGCGATGCGGCGCTCGCAGATGCAAAGGGAGCCGGAATCCGACCCAAGTTCGGCCGCGCCAGGGGCAATGCAACGCCGGCAGACGACGAGGATTGGGAACCCGAGGGCACGGCGAGTCTGCGTGCCAATCGCGACATCCTCGCCACCAAGGTGAGGGTGGCGTGGCTGAGGCTCAAACCCTACGTCGTCGGCACACTCAAGTACGATCGGTGGAGAGTGACGGATGCGCAAGGCACGATCCGTTGGACCTACACCGCCGTCGATGGCCAAGAGGAGGTGCAGGTGCTGGGAGAGGGCACCTCGCTCCATGTGCTCGAGCGCAATCTGGCAGAACTCGATGCCGCACAGCGCGTGACCAAGCCGCAGGCGCAGTCCAGCGTCGAACCCACAAGGAAGAGCAACGGTACAAGGGCAAAAGTAGCTGCGACAGAACAAACGCAAAGCGAGCAAGAGCCCAGAGCTAGTACGGCGGCACACACCGCAGCGTCGCAGCCCGAAAGCAGCGAGGCGTTCCACGAACCGATCCCCGTGCATCCGAGCCAGATGGCCAAGATGCAAGCGCGAGATGCGGATGGCAAGCCAGAATAGCGCCGGCAATGCAAAGCAAACGCCTACTCCACGGTTATAGTTGGTGTGTGTGTGTGTGTGTGTGTGTGT